GGGGATATATGGGTTCATCCCTACGGAACTGCAATTTCCACAGGTTTGCTAAAGAGCTGGGAGTGGTGACAGGTTGAGCTAGGCATGATCATGGAACCCTCTGGCCACATGTCAAGCAGCTCCAGGCTGTAGCAACCATAGGCACATTCAGGAACAGGGTGTGGGCTGGGCCACAACATCCACCAGTTCATACAAAGGCCAGGACAAAGAGGGTAGACTATGACAGGTAAGAGTCCTTGTACCCACTGGCACAAATGAGATCTGCATCTGGGATTGGGCCTTGTGGGATAAATTGGGAAACTCCTCCAGTAGGCTGTAGCTCCTGTCAGTCAGCATGTGATTCAGGCCTGGGAGTTGATCAGGCTGGGCAAGACAGCTTCACCAATTCACAAGTGTGTGGGTTGGTTCTTGAATGGGTGGACCAGGCAGGGCCAGGCCAACCTTACCCCACTGACAGGTGCAGTGGTGCTGAGGTGAGGTGAAGTGGGCCATGCTTGATGGGACTGCAGCACCCAACAACACACATGAGATCTGTGGAATGGGGGAGAGCGGGTGGCTCCCCTGTTGGGTCATTGCTGCCGCGGGTGTGCCTGAGTAGTGGAACCAGGAGCAGATCAGGCTGGGTAGGGCCATAACACCTGTTGGCCTGCATGTGAGGCGGGTTAGGGAGAGAGCCAGGCTGTACTAACAGACTGTATCCACTGGTGCAGGCAGGAACCAGAGTAATTGTAGGCTGGTTAAACTTTGCCACAGCATTAGCTGGCCAACGCTGGGACTAGGGGCAAGTCATGTCAGTCAAGATTGCAGAACCACCTGACAAGTACAAGATCCAGGGCTGGGTGTGGGCCTGTTAGGAAAATTATAGGCACTTCTTTGATGGGCTACAACTCCCACTGGTGAGCATGAGAACCAGGGTTGGGCAGGCCTGGCTAGACAGATGGTGGCACCCACTGGCAGGAGTGTGGGCTGGATAGTAGGGTTGGTTGGGTTGAGCTAGGCTTCAGTGTTCACTGATGTATACAAGAGCTAATGGGGATGCAGGACAGACTGGGCCTGTCTGCTGCACATACAGCAAACAAAGGAACCAAGGCTGAGAGCAGGACTAGTAGGGGTTATTGGAGGTTGCCCTGACTAGGCTGCACATTCTGCTCATGAATGTAAGGGCTGAATGTGTGGGTAGGATGGATTGGCCACAACATCTGTTGGTTTACATAAGAGACAGGGCTAGAGATAGTGCTGACCCAGCAATTGCAATTACCAGTGTGTGTGTAGGTTGACATGGATGATGGACTGAGCCCAACCCAATACTGTCAAACACACACAAGAATCAGGTCTGGGGTTGTCTCAGATGACGTTTCTTTGGGGACCCCCAACTAAACCACTAGATTCAGAACTCCAACCACAAAGAAAATCGTAGGATCTGAGCTCTGACCATGGAGTGCATGTGTCAGAACTGGATCACTTTAGTGGCTAAGATGGAACAGTGGATTGAATGCCAGATACATATGAAGGATATGGCAGGCCATTGGAGCCTGCAGAGGACATCTTGTATCATAGCAGAGGATGGAGGGCAGAATAAATTGGACAACTAACCCAGCCAAGCATGCATTGGTAACAAATATACGAATGAACGGAGACTCTAAGGTAGACTATGTCAGCCAATGGAACTTGGGAGGATTTCCTCATCCTTGGATCAGTGAGATTGACAGTATTTCAGAACTATCAAAATCACTTGAGCAGAACCCCCAGAGCATGCTCCACATTGGGGACCTTAGGATAACATCAAGTGACTGTTCCCCATCCATGGGTACTGGGGCGGTGGGGATACTGGGTGTGGCTCCTTCCCTAATTTCCCTCCTTCCCTCAGAAAGAGAAGGAAGAGGGGAAAGATTTGGAAGCAATGATCTCACACCATACTCCTCTAGTTCTCGACTCTTCCCACCCTGGTCAGCTATGCAAACATCATCAAAACTAAAAATTAAAACTGAAAATAAAGAGTAAACATTTATAAGATGAAAGCATTTTCTTCTGTTTGTTCTCACAAATAGCCAATCCATTATCCCATTCTGTACTAGGTTGAACACTCATAATTCCCGCAAAACAGGGATTAGTAGAATGTTCGTGTTTTAAACAAATTTACAACCACAATCTTATGGAACAGCACTTTAATCCTAGGAATATAAAAGAATCTGAGTAGATTGTTTGGTTGACCAAATCAGGGAGAAGTAGAAACTCAGAATTTCTTTGATCTCTGGCAGCAAAAACTGTTGGGCTCTGGAGGCTTCTGTGAGGCACGTAACTAATTAAATGCCAACAACAAGCTCTTAAACACTGTGTTCACCATGGCAATTGCAAAAAAAAAAAAGACACAAAAATGAGATGACCTAATTTTAACATTGCTAGAGAACTTTAAGTACTACTAAAATGTTAACCCCAAACTAAACATAAAAATTGTCAATATTTTTCACAATGTGTCCGTTGGACACATTAAATATTAATTCTTAGAATTGAACCATTTTATAAAATAAGTTTTTCACATCAAGACATAGGAACAACATTAAGAAAATGATCTAATGTGACAGATTAACTCACTATCTTTACTTTTCTGAGTTTATTAGCTTGTTAGTAAATAAAAAGATGTTTCCTAACTTTTATATTGTGATTCAGAGGAAGATCGGATGCTAGAAGTTTTGTTTGTGGTGATTTGATTTTTAAGTTGTCATTTCTTGTATTTTATTCTATACATGAATGAATTCAAAGTGTTTTTTGACATCTACCTTAAATGAAATATATTACTTTCCTATTAATGACTACAGAAATAAATGTAAATAATGTAATAATGTAGCTTGTTACCTTCTTCTACAAACATTAAAATTGGACTCTGTTGGAGCATAAAACATGTGGAAAAACATAAGATTTTGAAGACAAAGAAAAAATTTAATTTAGTGTTACTTTTGGTCTTCATTTACTAATTGATCCATTTATTTATTTCAGTATCTTGGCCTTCATTCAATTTAATAGAAATTATATTCTATGAAATAGAGTGAAAAAGGTATTTGCTAAACTTTAAAAATTGTGTTTTATGTGAATAATTACCAGTAAAGTTTGGGCTAAGTATGTGGGTTTGTTGTTCTAAATTCATGAACAAAGATTTAAATTAATATCACATATTATCTAGCATTTATATTGTAGGTAATGTAAGGAAGTAAGAAGATACTAAGTTCAAACTGGGCTTGATTTGAAATCCAGCTATCACTTCCATTGGTTTAATGTCACTTAAATATATCATGTATCTCTTTAATTAGTCATAATGTGAAATATGTCTGTGCCACTTTGTTTGAATTTCATTTGTATCTTTATTATAGTTTAGAGTTAAATGGTTGTCTTAGTAGATACATTGAAGCTCACAATTTCCTCATCATATTCTACCAACTTTAAGGTAAATAAACCCAGGGGTTTGTGGGAATTTTTCCTTCAGAATAATCTTTATATTTTTCAGGTTTGACAGACACAGATGATGTATTAATAAGCAATCAAAGCTAGGCCCTCAGTATTTTAATGTTGTAGCTTAAATACATGGGGAGTTAGCAGGTTGTAAGGGAATACCTTTTATCTCTAGGTTCCTCAAGTCGCAGATTACATGATGCAGTGATCCCAAAATCACCACGAGGAACCTTTGCTCCAAACTGAGGGTGCCCGTGACATTAGAGTGTAATTTGCTTTGAGTCCCAGCACAAATGTGTGCAAAACAGCCTGAGAGAAACTTAGAAAGAAGGACAGCCTCTGTGAGCACTGGACATGAGCCCTGGAAGGGAAGAGGTTTGAAGAACAGTTGGTTGATGATATGTTGTTCATTGACTCAGATGAAAAAAATGGGTGATTTTTTTCCAGGACCAAAAAGGCTCTTAGGAATGAGAGGATAAATATCCTAAAATATTAGCGGACATTGATTAAATGTGGACTGTGACAGACATCATCATCGCCAGTCTGTGTTAACTTCACAGTCACAACACATTTTTGGGTTACTACTGTGAAGTGCAGTCTATTTTAGCATTTAGACTCTTAGGGTCCAAAGTTGTAACCCCAACTCTGATACGTACTGTGTTGTTCAAATAACTTAACATGTGCCCCCATTTTCTCACATGTCAATGCATATAATAGTCCCTGCCTCTCAGTCCCGCTTACTATTAAGTGCCTAGTAGGTGATTAAAACCATGTGATAAATGCCATATAAAAGTTGCCATACTGTTGGGATCCTTCAATAGGACCTCAGTTGTCTCATGTTTTAACAGTTTGAAAATGTTTGAGTTCCTAATCTTTCTGAAATCATGCCTGTGTTCTTCAACACCCACCATAATGTTTTTCTATGGCTGAAATAGAGGATGGAAAAATATGTTTCTCTAACGTCACAACATTTTCCTTGGTAATTCCTGAAGGAATGTACTCTTCTTAAGGGGAGTTTTTAAGTGATCAGGAGATTATTCAACCTAATCATTCTCAAGATGTTCTTAGAAAGGGAGAAAAGGGGACTGTCATTTACTTGAGAGCCTACTTACCCCAAGACTCAGCCAGCTGATTTGCTGCTCGTCAAGGTAGTTTTAAATTGGTCATCAACTATATGTAAAGGGCTCTTAAGGGCATTGAGGATATAGTGATAAAAAAAATGGGATAAATCTCTAATGGAGCTTCCACTTTAGTGAGGATAAAATTTTATGTGATTTCAAGTGTCGTGTAAACAACAAAAAGAAGTACAGATACAGAGGAGGAAAGTTTTATCAATTCTATGTTACAGACACACAATTGGGGTTATTACACAGGAATAAATCTGGTCCCACATCCTCACAACATGGGGGAGGTACATTAAAACTCATTCCCATGGTTCATCTGATTCCAACCCTCTCCAGGAGACCAAGTTTTCAGAAACTTGGCATCTTTCCACATCAAGAATATAGTTATACTGTCAATTTGGAGGTCCTGGCAACACTTTAAATTTCAATCACTGCTTAAGACTTGCCAAATTTCCCCTTTATCTCTTATCATCATGTCCTTCTTACGGAGTAATACCCCTGTCTCTCTCATTCCATCAGATTTCTCCATCTCTAAAGCTTACTGCCCTAGTCTAAACTTTGCTTCTTGGTCATCTCCCTTTCCCTAATGACCTTCGCCCCCATACTCCAGCAACTGTTATTCTACTAGCCACTTACAGGAGATTATATACTTTTTAGATCCTGCATAGGAGCGAGCTTACATGATATTTGCCTTTCTGTGCCTGGCTGTTTCACTTACCGTGATTCCTCCAAGCTCAGCTATGTGGTCAGAAATGACAGGGTTTTTTCACCTTTGTAAGACTGGAATATACTTCACAAAATGGTTGCTGTAATAAGCCATGATACTGTGTATATTTGATTACTAAAATAGTTTTAAATGCTTTACCACAAAGATTTATAAATACATGGGGCAATAGGTTAATTAGCCTTATTTAACCAATTGATATTGTAAGCATATACTGATTATGCCCAACAAATATGTACAATTATGATTTTAAATCGAAAAATCAACTTTAAAAACCTCTCCAGGCTTCTGTGTATCTCACTACAGCATCTAATCTTTCCTCTCTGCAGCCAATTGCTTTTAAAATGCTAAAAAAAAAAAACCTTCTAATATTAAAACAAGTATAATGATGTGAGTCAGAAAAGAAGGGACAAAGAAAAATAACTTTCTAACTTCATTTATTTGTGGACTTAGATTTCCTCCCAAATGTTCGTCTGGCACAGGACTCTAGTGGCTAAAGGCCTCGCCTTGCACACACTGGGATCCCTTATGGGTACCAGTTCATGTCCTGTCTGCTCCACTTCCCATCCAGCTCCCTGCTTGTGGCCTGGGAAAGCAGTAGAGAATAGCCCAAAGCTTTGGGACCCTGCACCCACATGGGAGACTCAGAACAAGCTCCTGGCTCCCGGTGGTTGAGGCCACTTGGGAAATGAGCCAGTGGATGGAAGAGCTTTCTCTCTGTCTCTCTTTCTCTCTGTAAATCTGACTTTACAGTAAAAATAAACAAACAAAACAATAAATCACACTCACAAAAAAGATCTCAAGATGTTTGATTTTTTTTCTATTTATTTTTTGTAGCCTATACTAGTTACTGCGACCACTATATCTAGAGTCAAATTTTGTTCCAAATATTATTCTGTTTAGGATAAACTATGGCATTGCTGGATTTACTATGTATTTAGACCAAGATGCAAATGAAATTCTTCAAGCACATGTCTTCTTATTCAGTTCCTCTAGTATGTTGCAGCTCATCCTGAAGTGGTTAATCATCTACCTCCAGTTATCTCAATCAGCAGTAATGGGACATGGGTACAATAACTGCAAATAATATACACATTCAAAATCTAACAAATACAGCACACACTCAGTTATCAGCTCATAGAAAATCTAAAATTCCTACAAGCACCTTTAGGGTCCATTCATGCTTCCATGTGTCCATCAGTAGATGAATGGACAAAATGTGATATATTGTTTACACAGTGGAATATTATTCAGCCATAAAAAATACATCCTGTCATTTATAACATTATGAATTGACCTGGAAGATACTATACTAGAAGAACTGATCCAGATACAGAAACACAAACATCTTATGAACTCACTTAACTGTAAGAGCTGAAAAGATTGAATTTATAGAAGCACAAAGTTGAATGGTGATTGTCAGGGGATATGTTTGGGGAGAAGGGAAGGTTTGCTCATTAGGCACTAAATCTCGTTTACAGATGAGTAAGTGAAGGTTGGCACTGTGGCATAGCCAGCAAAGCCACCACCTAAGATGCCAGCATCCCATAAAAGTGCTGGTTTGAGATGCAGCTGCTCCACTTTCAATCCATCTCCCTACTAATACACCCGGGAAAGCAATAGAAGATGGCCAAGCTTCCATATGGGAGATGCTTCGGTAAAAGCTGCAGGTTCCTGGCTTTAGCCTGGTGCAGCTCCAGCCACTGAGATTCCATTTGGAAAATGAACTAGCGAGGAACCTCTTTCTTCTCTTCTCTCATCTCTCTTCTTCCCTCGTTCTCTCCTCTGTCTTCTTCTTTGTCTCTCTTTCCTTTTCCTTTCCTCCCTATCTCTCTCCTCTTCTATCTGTATCTTCTTCCCTCCCTCTCATTCTCTCTCTCTATGTAATTCTCAATTCCAAATAAATAAATCTTTCATTTAAAAATATAAGTTCTAGCAATATAATGTATACATGATAACTAAAGTTAATATTACTGTATTGTTCACATTAGGGAAGCAGGCCTTGGGTGTCCTCACTACCCCCAGACAGACAACATTAATTACTGAAGGGATGGAAGTGTTATTTTATTATGACGATCATTTCACAATATGTGTATTTTTCAAATCATCATGATGATTGAGCATGTACAAATTTTACTTTTCACATCTCAGTGAAGCAGAATTTAAAAAAAAAACAGGGGTACTATGGTGGCTGAATTGTAAGACATAATCAGAATGTAATAAATGATCAGATATGGGCAATATACATCAGGCAAGACACATTGGGACCCTGATGGATGGAGTCTGCTCTTATGTAAATCAAGAAAAGATCTAAAAGTCGTGACTTCCTCCAGTGGTGGCACCAGGGCATGGAAATCATCTCTGAGTAGCACATTTGGAGATAACCTAGCACAGGATGGATGGCCTAAGTTTGGGTCCAAAGGTTGAGACACCACATTGTGCTACGGGATAGGCATGAGGTCACAGCCATCAAAACTCGGGAGGGTTAAGACAGAAGGTACCAGTGATGGTAGGGTTCCCTGGGGTCGTTTCTCTTACAAAAAATGGAGACCACAAAGGGACGTAAAGCAAACAATTTCCTCCCTTGAACCTATGAAACTTCATTTGTCTGCTTCTTAAGGCCAAACTGATGATGTATATGTCCAAGTGATAAACTGAGCCAAAATATCAATGCTTCATATTCTGTCCTCAGTGATAACTTGGGACAGCTCCCAGGCAACCCCTCAGATCCAAAACCATGAAACCATCTATCCTGGGAACTTACACCAAGTTTAAAAAGAGGGCTGCAGGACCAGGAGGGGATGAGGGAAAGTTGTAACTCCCCTGGATCCCTGGAGATAATTCATTGCATGTTGACTTTCTTCCCCACCAGAGACTTAGTGGTATAGTCTCAGAAGATACTCCCAAGAGAGAAACAGGCTGTGAGAACTCACAGCCTTTGAGTGAGAAGAATAAGAAAAAGGAGCATTTAGATAAAGAATCTTTAGAAGATGTTCTGCAATCAGACAACCTTTTTGATATACAATTTCTTCTTTTTGACTCAACATTTCATGGAGCAGAAATGAAAAATGGCATGAATACAGGAACTGAGATGTCAACATCCTTTGCAGGTGAGAAATCATCTTTGAGAATATTTGAAGAAAAGGTAAAAAAAAATCTGATCTCAGAGGCATAATTAGTTATCACTGAATACTACATGAGGGAATCGATTTATGTTCATCCAAAATGTACATTTTCTATGTCTGCAAAGTTGTTTCTTCCTTTACCCCATCAACTTCTGAGTCACATCTCTAACCTGGGGATACGAATTATCAACCCAGGATCATAGGGTTTGCAGGGACAATTTTCTCGTTTCACTCCCTCCCTCTCGTTTCTCGTTTTCTTTGCCCTTATTTCTTTTCTCTGCATCTGCATTCAATTCAGTATTCTCTGGGTGACTTTCTTGCCTTAGTTGTAAATGATGCATAAAGAAACATCTTGATTTATAATAAAGACTATTTATCAAGGACTAGCTAGAATAGCCAGCACGTAATCTAGTTGTGGGTTATTCACCAACAATCCTTGGCCAGAAGATGGCATGGCCATCTGAATGTATAGTTTCTACAATTATCAACCACAGAGTAAGGAGGAGGAAAAAAAGACTCAAACTCTCAACCTGAATCTGTGTGTGTGTGTGCATGTGTTACCTCCATCCAAAGTCCCTTCCATCTTTTCTCTTGTATCTGCTTTTTCTAGAATCTTCTATATGTTGAATATTTGTGTCTCCCTCAAAATTTACATATGTATGTTATAACCCTAACCACAAAGGTAACAGTATATGGCGATACCTTCAGCGGTCAATTCACCCTTAGAAGATCTTGCTTTTGGTTTCTACTTTCTGCTATGCAAGGATACAATGAGAAAAGATAGCTTTTGGACAACCAGGAAGCAGGCCCTCACCAGACACCAGATAGGTCAACACCTTGATCTTAGATTCCCTAGCCTGCAAAACCATGGGACATATGAATCTTTATGGTGATTTGTTACAGTATCTAGAACATGACCAAGATGCCTATGTCAAAGATTTTTTAAAAAGTGGAAACATACTTTCATGTTTGATTTTTCCATGCTCGGTGAGTGAAACAAGCATTGGAGTAAATGCTCTGTGAACAGCTTCTTGGTGTAAGAGCAAGGCGGGAGGATGCATGTGCCAACGGTGTAGGCTCCGTTAACTGGCAGCATTGTTTGTCTTTAGGTGCACATGAGTCCGTGGAAATGTCCAACCTGACTGCGCTCTCTGAATTCATCCTCTTGGGACTCTCCTCTAGACCTGAAGACCAGAAACCACTCTTTGTCCTCTTTCTTATCATATACATGGTCACCTTGCTGGGAAATCTGCTCATCATCTTGGCTATACGCTCTCATCCTCAACTCCAAAACCCCATGTATTTCTTCCTAAGCAACTTGTCCTTTGCTGATATTTGCTACACCACGGTCATAATCCCCAAGATGCTGGTGAATTTCTTATCAGAGAAAAAGACCATTTCTTATGCTGAATGCCTGATACAGATGCATTTTTTCCTGATCTTTGGAAACATAGATAGTTATATCCTGGCAGCGATGGCTATTGACCGCTATGTAGCAATCTGTAACCCCTTCCATTATGTCACTGTTATGAACCGCAGGCGCTGTGGGTTGCTACTACTCTTCTCCATCACTTTCTCCTATCTCCACTCCCTTCTACACGTCCTTCTGGTGAATCGGCTCACCTTTTGTGCATCAAATGTTATTCGCCACTTTTTTTGTGATGTCAGCCCCGTTCTGAAACTGTCCTGTTCATCTACATTTGTCAATGAAGTTCTGGTCATGACAGAAGGGCTGGCCTCTGTGATGGCTCCATTCATCTGTGTCATCATCTCTTATCTGAGAATCCTAATGGCTATTCTCAAGATTCCCTCAGCCACTGGAAAGCGCAAAGCCTTCTCCACCTGCAGCTCCCACCTCACGGTAGTGACCCTGTTCTATGGGAGTATTAGCTATGTTTACTTTAAGCCTTTATCCAGCTATACTATCAAGGATCGAATAGCCACAGTCATCTATACCGTGTTAACATCCACACTGAATCCATTTATCTACAGTTTAAGAAACAAAGACATGAAACAGGGTCTAGGGAAACTGATAAACAATATCAAGTTTCAAATGGGTAGCTTTTATTCTATAAAGGTCAGCAAGATCTGTGGATCCTGATTGCAAGGGGTGTGTGTGTGTGTGTGTGTGTGTGTGTGTGTGTGTACTCAGGTCTGAATGTCTCTCATGCTGTTTCATCAATGGTGGCTATTCCATGTAGTTTTCCACCCAGTAGTTCATAACCATACTACAATTGGACAGTGAGGCTATTTTGTTACCTGTGCTCCAATTGTACACTCATCTTGTAATATACCTCTATTCCAGAAAAATCACACCCCTATTTATCAGTTCCTGTTTCTTAATCAGTCCCTGTTTACTTAAAGCCTCCCATATTTTCACTAAAATTTCAGGAGTCGAATTACCAAAAGTATTTTACACATCTAAGTAAAAATGTATGTGTGTGCAAAGATATTACCCATACATAAGCAATCTGTTTGAATATGTCAGGGATTTTTGCAGATGTTGTGTATATGAATATTACCCATCATGCTGAGGGGCCCCAAACCGCAGATCAGTGTTCCCTGATCATTCTAAGATAGAACAATGGTTTCTTTCCTTAATTCCATAAGACCTGGATGTTCTGCATTTTAGAATTGCACACTGTAACATCTGGCACCAATCACCTGACTGTTAGCAAGAGAGTTCTATGTTTCTATTCCCCTTTCCTAATAGTGTCTCTTCCATCAACTTACTCTGAAGAAAAAAAGATGTATTCCATGGAATCTGAGGTGTTTCCTATGATCACTGAAGGAAGAGCAAAAAAAAAAAATCAATGGGACAAATATCTGGAATATTTTTTAAAAGCTGCTCTCATAGAAGTGAAGAATATAAAAGTAATAGCAATAAGCTGGAGAGAGTAAAAGAAGGGAGAGATGGGGAAAGCTGGAGTGTTGAGTACTAAGCTACAGTTAGATAAGACTAAGGAATCGGGTGCTTTGTTGCACAGCACAGTGACCAAATCATGATGACATAAAGTTTATTTCTCTAAAATATCATTATAAACAAATATTAAATATTTGAGGAGATATAATTACCTTGATTCTACATCATAAGCTGCATACAAGCATCACTTTGTACCCATAAGCTTGCACAAGTTGCATGTGTCAGGTAAAAACAAAATTTGAGAAAGTAATGCTTGTAAATTTCTAGTAAGGATGTTTTGGCTCAGAGTGCCTGATGTGAAAGAGGTGCTTAGGCCCCAGGGCTGGGGGGGATGAGGTTCTGGCAGGACCCTGATAGCCTGGCCTGGGTCCTTGGGCCTGATTGTGAGAATTGGGCTTCCTCAGTGAGAAAGACAGAGCAATAGACAGCAGGCCCTGATGCACATGGAGGATATGGCAGACCATTGGTAGAGCACATTGGAAGAGCACATCTGGTACCACAGCAGAAGAAGGAGCACAGAATACGGCAACTACCCCAGCCAAACAATGACAGCAAACATCTGGCACAATTGGAGACTGTAAGGTCAACTACGTCAGCCAGTGGACATTGGAAGGTTTCCTCGTCCTTGGATCAACATTTCAGAACCATCGAAACCACCTGGGTAGAACCCTCAGATCATGTGCCAAATCAGGACCCAAGGTTGATATTGGGTGGCTGTTCCTCATCCCCAGGGACTGGGATGGTTGGGAGGCTGGGTATGGCTTCTCCCCTTATCTCCTCTACTCCCCCAGAAGCTGGAAAAAGAAATTAAAAAGTTGGAAACAATGATCACACCCACTTTTCCCTAACTCTGGATTCTTCCCATCATGATCAACTATGTCAACATTATTAAAAAAAAAAAAAAAAAAAAGGATGCTTTCAGTTTAGATAGGAAAAAAGTCAACTCACTCCACACAATGTTGTTTATAAAAAGAGCAATTTAATGGTTCTCTCTTCCCTGATGTTTGTCTATCTATAGAATTCGTAACATCTGATCTGTTTATGTTAATAAAAATGTTTTAAAACAAAATTAAATCTTCAAAAGCAGAGATATCCTTATTTGAAAGGTAGAGTTACAGAGAAAAAGAAAGAAGGAAATCTTTATCCTCTGGCTCACTTTCCAAATGGCTGCAGTGGCTGGAACTTGACAAGGCCGGGAGCCTAAGATTTCAGAACTATCAAGTGGGTGGCAGGGGCCCAGGCACTTGGGTCATCATTTACTGCTCCTTGGGAACATGAACAGGGCCCGGATTGGAAGCCTAGCTACCAGGACTTAAACCACAGCTCTAATACTCTATGCCAGTGTCACAGACAGATGTCTAACCCACCATGTTGAAACATCAGCCACATTGTTGCGTTGTATTTTGGCTTTTTGTACATAAAAGTTTCTTTTAAATATTTTAAAGGCTGGGGAAAGAGTTTATTGTTTGTATTTTTAATAAATGAAAGCACTTAAGTGAAACAACATAACCTCTTGCAATACTTTAGACAATGATTAGATGGAGGACTTTAATGCCTTAAAGTATAAGATAAGGTTCTGATAACCTATTATATAGCTTGGTGGGCATAGTTAATGAGTTGTATATTTTTAAATAGGTGAAGAAAACAAGTTTCAAATGGTTCCATCACAAGAAATCATTTGAGCTGATGAATGTGTTATTATTTTATAACTCTACAGACATACATATATTAAGACATCACACAATTGCCTATAAATATGTAAAATCATTAATTACTAATTAAAATTCTAATAAAATTATTTGAAAAGGAGTTGTCACATCCCTTTGATGTTGCCACAGAAGTTTGTGACAAAAGGCAAAGCATAATCAAAGCGAAGAAAACTTATTCGGTTTCTTTCATTTATTGCATGTATGGCCAAGTAGTCTCAACGTTCTGGCCACCTCTGGTCAGTTGGTAAGGCTCCTGCGTTACTGTCACAACACATCATGTGTCTACACCTCCATGCTCAGTGAAGATGGATGAATGGAGAGGAAGTGTGTCTGCTGAAGACATAGGAGCCAGGAGCACCAGCTTACAAAACTAATGAATTTTTACAGTCACCACAGGTCTTGGTGACTGGGCATGAAATGGAACTCTATTCCTATAGCTCCTTCTTGCTCAATCTTATTTCTGGCTTTAAGTCCTCAGTTTCCCTAATTGCAACTCTGTTCTGTTTTGCTTTTTTTTTTTTTTACCCGATATGTCCTCAGTGAGTTCTGATAGAATTTAGCCTCATTCCTTTATTCCACACTTTTTGGGGCTGTCACTGGTTGCTTCCTCTACCTCCTGTTTGTAAACTCTAGATTCTTCCACAACTTCCCCTGATGTCAACAAGAGTTTGCTGCTTGCAACTTTCTAGTCTCTTTTGGTCATGTGCTAGAATCTGTTGTTGACATCTGCCCTTGTTATATCCATTTGCCACCACTGATGCTGATAAATCTTGCTTTCTGAATTTTCTTTCATTATTGCATACACTCTGCAATGATGACACAATGATCATCAAAGATGGTTTATGTCATATCTGTTTGATGTTGTTTTCTCTCTCCTAACCACCATTTAATCTGCATGACCTATTCAAGATCACTTTAAAAGCTTTGTATGATCTCCAGTAAAATACTTGGAGCAAATCCAGTCATCAGTATGTACAAATCCAATGTCATTGAACTTTCTAAGATGTGTAAGGAACACAAGTCAAGTTTCCATTTGGGAAACAGAGAGTGTGCATCCAATACATTCTCAGATTGCAGATTTAAAGATCCTTCAAAGAGCTTTCATTTCAGTTTACTTTCCTCTGTTTGCTGCTCTCTTAGCTCAAAAGCTAAGAATCTGATACTTTGGCTTGTTAACCCATCCATGGGAACTGAACTGTGTCACCTCTCAAAATGCGTGTGCTGATGTCCTAACTCTCAGTGGCTCAAATGTCAGTACATTAACTGAAGTCATTGGGGTGGTGTCCTGATCCAACATGGCTCGTGTCCTTTAAAGAAGAGATCAAGACACACACAGACGGAGCACGATGTGGAGACAGGGCTCAAAAGCAACCACTGCTGCCAATACCTTGTGCTTGGACTTCTGTTAGACGTCCATCCACTTAGTTCAGTCTGCCTAGAGAACTAATTCAATACCTTTGATGATTCTGCTGGTTAGAACTGAAAAGTAAATGGTACTTGATATCTCAAATTTTAAATCAAGAACATATTCTTGCAACATATCTTTCCTCCTGATTGGAAAACCAACTGTCAAAAATAAAAATCTCTAATTCACAGATTATCTAATGGAATGTAAAATGTCACACTTTATAGTAATTCTAGCTCATCCAGAAATAATATCCACAACTTAACTGGTGGATACTGGGGTGCAAAAAATCGGTTATAATAGGAAGACAAGGGAATCCTGATTTAAACCAAGGCCTCAACTTGGTAAAGAGTCTCTGTGAGCACAGAGCCCTTGAATGTAGCCTGGCAATCAGCACCACTAATAGTGTAGGAGACATATCAGGTCTTACCTTCCTGTCCACCCCCACCAAGGCAATATCTGTGCCAGTTCTGAACCTATCTTCTTCCAAAACATGCGGGATGAGGCTGAGCACACAGCCTCTCCTCCATAATGTTGTACGTGGCCTGACTTGAAATGAGTTCACTTGCTTACTCATCCTTTTCTAATACTGGTAGTGATTCCATCTCAGAGGCTGGGGTTTCATCTTTTCCAAACCCCTTGCATTGATGTTGTGCTCTAAATTAGGCCATCTATTTCAGGAGGTATGATAAAGTCACTGACATTTTATCTTTTGCTTCATAACTCCACAAAATATTCATTCTTTGTCCACTCAATAAAAATGTGATGGGCACCTGCAGATCCTACACTAAGTACATGGGAAACTTATCCACAAAGACCATCTAAGGGCAGAAGGTCTCAAGGCTCTTAAAACAGGTAACAAAATGGGCCCCTTTATATTACTTAGGTAGTTTCAAGTTGTCAAAATTGAACACCTTAAATATGATAACCTAACTAAAAAACAGTGACGCAAACACACGGGCCACATTCTTCTGCTTTCCCAAGCGCATTGCCAGGGAGCTGGATCAGCAGCAGAGCGGCAGGGTCTCAAACCATCAGCCATATGGGATGCTAGCATTGCACGTAATGGTTTATCCACTATGCCACAACATGAGCCCTTCTAGCTAAGTTTTAAAGAAAAGAGAAATTATGAGATGTCCTGTGGCTGGGGATTATGAAGCAAAACTAATTTAAAAATTCACTGTAATAGGCTGACCAACAGGATTTCCTTTAAGAAGTATCCTGTTGTACTAGAATGGCAAATAATGGCCAAAGCCAAGAATGAAGTCTCTCATCCCTGTGTTACAAATTATATGCCAGCAGTTGGAATCCAGCTCCTGCCACTTGGGGCTCTTAAAGAGATATCAACATAAGTCTGTTACTACCAGCCAGTCCTACTTCCCCAATGCAAGAAAAGAGACAAGAGAATAGGAGGACTCTGACCTTTGATATAAAGATGATTGCTTATTCCTCCCCCAAACCAAGAAAACAAGCTCCTTAAAAATCATTTGGTGGGCCAGTGCTGTAGCCTATCAGGTAAAGCTGCTGCCTGTGATAACAGTACTCCGTGTGGAAACTGGTTTGACTCCTTGCTGCTCAGCTTTTAATCCAGCTCCTTACTATTGCACCTGGGAAGGCAGCAGAGGATGACCCAAGTTCTTGGACATGTCTACCTGTATAGGAATTCTGGACAAAGTGGACTCCTGGCATTAGATGGGCCCAGCTCTGGCGCTGGCAGTCATTTGAAGAGTGAACCAATGGATGGAAAATCTTTCTGTCTTTTGTCTCCTTTTCTCTGCGATTCTGATTTCCAAAATTACTTCAAATATTGCAGGATATTTCATTTAAAAAATCATTTGAGGGGGCTAGTATGGCAACATAGCAAACTAATCCTCTGCCTGTGGCACCAGCATCCCCTGTGTGCACCAGTCCAAGTCCCTGCTGCTCCACTTGCAAGTCAGTTTCCTGCTAATTGTTTAGGGAAGCAACAAAGGATGGCCCAAAGCCTTGGAAACCTGCACTCGTATGGGAGACCCTGAATAAGCCTCTGGCTCCTGGCTTCAGATCACTCCAGCTCTGGCCATAGCGGTCATTTGGGGAGTGACCCAGTGGATGGAAGATCAGTCTCTCTATATCTCTCTCCCTTTCTCTCTCTCTTTCTCTCTCTCTCTCTCCTTCCCCTGCCTGCCTCTCTGTAACTCTTTTAATTCCTGAATCAGAGTTAAATGCTTTGGAATAAGTGCTTGGAGAAAGTTTCTAGTCAACAGATTCAGTTGCTGACAATTTCCACTGAAAAGATTGGTACTACAAAGATAACACAGTTACATATAATAAATGCTATACTGGAAAAGTGAAAGAAATGTGAAATAACCCAGTGCATTTTAGGAAAGCTGGAAAGGAAATAGGGAGTAATATTTAAGGAGTAAATGAAAGGAAATCAGTGTAAATTCAGAGATCTCCAATAAAATGTTAAAAATGCTCATAATTTCAATCATCAAAGAAATGCAAATCCAAC